TGTGGTAAAGTTTGAATTCCCAAAGGCACAAGACCAGCACCTTCCCTAACGACCAACAGACTTTGATATTGACTGTAAAATGACACAAGATCCATCAGCAATCTCGCAGCTAATGAAATAAAAACAAGGTAAAAATAAAGAAATCACCTGAGAGGTTGCCCTGCTGCCTGGCCAATATGAAAAGTTGGATTGTTGTTCTCAAACAACAATGGTCCAGAAACCTTTGCCTTGCCCTTGGACGAACTGTTAAATGACCAAAAACAACAGTATTGAACTCATAACCCAAACATTCAATGGAGGTAATTGTCAGGAGACCACAAAACAGTAAAGGCAAATTTCAAACCTGGCTGGAGTAGAAACAGAACTGCTCACAGGCAATGACTCAGTTGGCCCAGTCAACATAAGGACTCCACACTGTTCAGGAGTGCCCTGCAAAGCAAGCCGACCCTGGGTTCCATCAGTAATTGTTTGCACCGGAGCAACAACAGCGGGCAGCAAACCCTGATTATCCTGGGGAAGCACTCGGAACACCCTGAACTCTCCAGTGGATACTCCATTAGCACTCATCATAGGAAGCTTTACTTCAAACCTCACAAACTTGCCTATCAAATTACTCAACTCAGGCGGAAGCTGGCCAGTTCTATGAGGATATCTCTAAGCAAGTACGTGGGCAGACGTGAACACCAGATTATTACTAGTTGGCCCAAAAATAATAAAAGGTGCCTCTCCCGTTGAGTCACGCAAGACTAACTGAATCTTGTACCTATAGAACACAGGGGAAACATTCAGTGTCTCCATTCCAAAGCAAAGCAGGCTTCTAGACCGTTGATTTAATCTGACGGTGTATATTAATTATAATAAAATTATTTATTTACTAATAATTATAATTACTAACACGACCATTTAAATAATTATACGTGCAATATAATCCCTCAATAATGTTTATTACTACATTTTCTATTATAATACCTTATTTCTTAGAGACTTATTATTCAACCCAAAAAATTATATATAATTCACCATTGTTTGTCCATTAAATTTATGAAGATGGATCGATCATTAACCCAGAAAAAAATCAAGCAAACGTCCTCATCAACATGATACGGACCCCATTATGAAAGGCCATCATCATCAATAGAAACCATCTCCACATAATAACAACATCAGTTCATCACTCAACGCTACCCTAATTTCACCATTGTCATCAAGGGACCCAACTACCCCTAATTACTCCGTCATCACCAAGGGAATCAATTTGACTCGAATAATTAATGAATCAAAGATTCATCTATTGCTCTAGCAGCAGGTCCATAGAGCGGCACCCGAGCTCCGGTGGAGAGGGGGTTCATTTGGTCAGGATTTTCGAGCATAGGGTGCAATTCGACGGAGGCGTCGGTGGGGTTTAATGGGTTTGACTGGAGAGGGAAGAGCTTATTCCTTCCATTGTTCGATAGCTATCAGGGATGGGGGTTTCGGTGGGATGTGGGTCTATACGGAACACGGGGTTGCTGGAGAAGAGACGGCGGTGGGATTATAATGCCTTCGCCGATATGATTGGGATGGTGAAGTTGTGTTGCCGGAGAAGAGAAATAGTGCTGGGATTACGGTGGTGGCGGTGGCGGTGGCAACTAGGAGCAATGAAGAGAGGAGCGCGCGTCTCGTCGGCCGGATTCTCGTGGCCGGAATTGAGAATCGAAACGGCGAAACTGCAGTCTACAGAGGGAGATAACGGGGAAGAAGAGGAGTGACGACGAGCCTTTTTGTGTTCCAGGTTAAATAAATAAAAAACGACGTCGTTGAAAAGAATAGAGCAGTGGCGGAGCTATGACATGGAAGAGGTTGGGCTGGGGAAAATAAACGAGCAAGAGGATGTGGAGTTGTTACGATAATCACAGTAAGAGAGGAGAGGGTTCGTCACTACCCGATGAACGACAAAAGGGACAGGGGATGGAGTTGTTACTAGGGCTCTGGGATTACATCTACCAAAAAAGGAAAAAATTAAAATTAAGTAGTTTGATGAAGATACAATTACAAAAAAGGGGTGTTCAAGTGATGATTAAAAGATTATTAGGTACGAGACTTTGAAATTATATGAAAAAATTTGTTTATGGATTAATGAGTACGTATAAAAAAGTAATTGAACCAATTAATTATTTATACATGGTAATAAATAAATAATTTAATTAAAATTAATTAACACCGTTAGATTAGATCAACGCTGTGGAGAACCTGACATATACCATGCGTCAGGAGCATACGAGTCTGACCCATATATATATATATATACATATATCTATATATATATATATATATATATACGAGTCTGGTTAATTCATTGTCTAAATAGCAAAACTCAACGGGCGTACGTTAGGCTAGGGTACGTCCGGGCGTACGCTAGCCTTTGCCATATATATATATATATATATATATATATATATATATATGTATATGTATATATATATATATATATATGTATGTATATATATATATATGTATGTAATTGTTTATGGGCTAATAAATAAATTAACCATTAGTTACAACAAGTTATACTAAACTTGATAAGTAATCTTTGACGGTTTGTTGTTTAGGATATAAAGTATATGGTTAGGGTATAGGGTATAAGGTACATATGGTTTAGGGTGTATATGGTTAGGGTATAAGATATTGATGGTTTTGACGGTTCTAAGTTTTTTATTAACATATGTTCACTTGAAGTCATTTGAAGTCTTTAACGGCAGGAGATCCCTTTTTAATTTATGTTTATGGTACGTGCTTAGGGTACAATGTATGTGGTGTAAAGTATAAGATATATGGTTAGGGTATAACAATTAGCAAATATCACTTTTTATCTATGTTTTGAAAATCAAAGTATGAATTTCACTTTTAAATTAACTATACTAGCAAAATCACAACTCAAAGACATATGGTTAGGGTATAGGTTATTTGGTTAGTGTATAATTTATTGATGGTTTAGGGTATACAATCAACAACATATACTAACTTAATATTGTTGATTGAGGGTAAGGTAAAGTGTATAGGATATATGCTATTGAGTAAGTTATGATTGAAGTAACAATAATTTTACTAAATTTGATAGCTAATCTTTAATGGTTCAATTTTTAGGATAATTCGAACAATTTTACAAATAACTCGTTTGGCAACAGTTTACTAAAGTTATTTGGGCAATGAGTTATTTCGAAATAACTCCTTTTATCACTATGCTTTTGCCAAATACCACACACCAAATACCAGATTTGCTTGGTTATACTAAATGAGATATTTTAATCAATTACTACTGAATTAATACTAAAATATCAAATAAACAATTAATGTTGTTTTTTGGTTGCAAATATTGATATCACCATTACTATTAGTTATAATACTTTACCAATTATGATTAATTACATAACAAGTTTGCAAGTAATACAAATTGATTTAACATTTTGACTAGTTTTTTTCAAAAAAATAAAGTATATATATACGAGGTAGAAATAAATTTGCTAAAAAGTTGAGAAAATATTTTAAATTAGTGTAATAAAATGTGTAAGTTGGTAATGAGTAATGAGTTAAGTTACTTGATGCGCTGGCCCGAACAACCCGAAACCCGATCCGCCCGCAACCCGCCCGACCCAAAACCCGATGAACCCGCAACCCGATTTGCCCGCAACCCGATTGAACCCGAACCCAATGAACCCGCAACCCGACTAACCCGCAACCCGTTTGAACCCGAACCCGATGAACCCGAACCCGATAAACCCGCAACCCGACTAACCCGCAACCCGTTTGAACCCGAACCCGATTGAACCCAACCCGAACCCGCCCGATTGACACCTATACTTTTAAGGTGATTGAAAATGAAAAACACAAAGTTATCTAAAAAATGAAAACACACAAAATCCAAAACAAAAAAGAAAACCAGAGGATTGAAAAAAAATATAGCTTTGAGAATAGCGGTACCAAAGGCAGGAAGGTGGAGAGAATCTAGAAATGCCCATACCCTTAGAATTTTCCTTAACGCTCTGTTTGGCAACAAGGGGGGTGCAAATTGAAGGAGGGTGCAAGTTGAGGGGTAAATTGCTGGGGGGTGCAAATCCCTGGGGGTGTAAGTGGAGGGGTAAATTGTTGTTTGGATGAAAAAGTAGGGGGGTGCAAATAGAGTGAAAAGTAAGTAATTATATTATTTTAAAATAGATTTTAAAAATAGATTTTAAGATTACAAAATAGATTTTAAAATTTTAAAATATTATCATAAAATAATAAAATAAATATTACTATATAATAATAAATATACTTTACTAAAAATAGTTATTATATAATAATGCTCAAATAATAATTAATTATAACAATTGTATAATCATTGATCGAGCAATCTCAAAACTCGAAGCTCAACTTGTAACTGGTCATCCTATATAGGGTTTTCGTGTCTAGTTTAATCTTAAATTGTCAAACACGTCCGAATTTGTAAGTTTTAACTATTTAGTCAAATAAACTGAGTTAACCAAACAATTTCTCTCTATCTTTTCCACAAACACTTCGTATCTCTAATTTTCAATGCAAATTCGATTCAACCAAGAGATCTAGATTTGACTTGACGAACATTGATAAACTTGTTTCCAGAGTCAAATGGTCAACCCCGAATAATGTTTACATTAATGATATTTATAAAAAGAAGAAATTGATAATATTAATTATTATATAATTATATATAACACAATTAGAAAAACAAAATTCCATAATTTCCCCCTCCCCCTCTCTTCCTTCCTTCCCTTGCACCCCAATTTGGGGGGTAAGCCGAAACAGTAAATTTGCACTCCCGTTTTGCACCCCCCTACTGTTCCAAATTAACCAAACAGGTGCAAATGTGTTGGAAATTGTATTTACCCCTCACATTTGCACCCTCCTCCCATTTACCCCTCTTCCCAAACAGAGTGTAAAAACACAGAAATTATAAATGAAGGATATAATTATCAAATTAGAAAAAGGCAGCAAAAATAATTGGAAAAAGAATGCTTGCGAGCGAGGGAGGGAGAGAGAGATTGGGGGAAAATGATAATAGAAAAGCAGAGAATAAAAAGAGACCGGATGTTGACAAATATCGTGTCACTGTTCTTAGAAGGTCGTTTGTTTGTGTAAAAAGATTTCTTATCTGGGATCTCTCTCTGTCTCTCTCTTACATAAAATAAAAATAACTATCTTTTCTACCTTTGTCTCTCTAAGTATCATTTTTTTTTTTTCCTTTCCTCCTTTCTTTCCTCTTGTTGTTGCTGTTTCCTGGTGTTCTTGTTGTCGTTGAGAGAGAAAGTGAGACTTAGGGATATAGAGAGAGAAAGAGAGGAATAGTGGCCCAGCAGATCGAAATCTCCTTTTATTCAATTGAGAAGAGACGATCTAAGCCCTTTCAATGGAGTTAGAGCAATACCCACTCTCTGTTATTGCTTTTCTTCTTGTCCTTTGAGCTCCTTCCCTCTCGTTTTCTTTTCTTCTCTCCTTACTTTTCTCTGATAGTGCCAGTCTCTTGTGAGAGAGTCTTGGAATTTTTCTTTGTCTGATGTAGAAGTTGGGACTGTCGAATGATTGTATGCTTCTAGGATTCTTGAGTTGAAATGAGATAAAAAGAGGTGCGGGTCTGAGGTAATATTAATTTCTCTTATGAGTACTTTGATTTTGTTCTTTTCTAATTAGAATTTTTTTTTGGGTTTAATTTATTTTGTTTAATGATTTTGTCAATTGGGGTTTGCTTTAATATGTTCTTTTGGGGATGGGTTTCGTATCTCTTATCATTTTGGTGAATTTGGGTTGAGGGTTGAGGTCTTGTGGGCAATTCAGATTATGCATTTCTGGGCGCCTGACTTAGTTTCCATTTTATGTTTGTTTGTTTCTTTTGGCAGCCTTGATTGCCAATAGGATTTGGTTATGTGTGGGGTTTTAGAAGTTTCTGTTGTGAAAGCTGGGGCACTTCTACTGCTCATATTTGCTAGTAATCTTTTGTTAATTAAGATTGTATGCTTGTAGAGGATCTGTCTGTTCACACTGAAATGTCTGATTTATTCTGTACATCAGGGATTTCTCTGTCGTCTTATAGCTTTTTGATATTATTGACTTGAGTGCCGGTAGTAATGGTTTGTATTGTATTCTAATTTTGCTCCCTTCTTAGGTTTAGTGAAACCAATCGACTAACTAGGCTGTCGGAACGTCTCAACGTTTCTTCCCATGTTCAGATTAAGGTTTCTGATTGTAATGTATATGGTCACTGTTAGCCTAATCAGTTCCCTTTAACTGTTTTAGCTTGTTGAAGTAGGTAGATGATTTATGTCAGCAAAACGTTGATAGTTCACCCTGGTTTTGAGCTGTGTTAGTTGTTAGTTAGTGTAATTTAACCAGCTTATCAGAAAGGCAAATAGGCCTAGTTTCCCGACCTGTCACACCAACAAAATTTGTAAGTTCTGTTTGTTGTTAATGTATGCTGCATTTGGAACAGTTGTTATGGAATCATCCGGATTTAGGAAATCGCTTGTGTGTTTGTGGAAATCGAACAGTAGTGACTTTCATAACGAAGTTACCTATTTGAGTTTATAAACTTAGGAATTTTAATTGGGGGTGAAGTGAATTTCAGATGGGAATTGGTCATTCGGGATCTAAAAAGAAGTTCAGTTACATAACCATAATATCTGTTGGCCATGTTTTTTTCTTTTTTCTTTTTTCTTTTTTGTGGCATCTGTTGGCCATTTTTCTCTTGGCTGTTGCGAATTTCTTGAACACAAGTTGTCTGGATGTTTTGGTACTCCGGCGGGCTGATTCCATTCCCACATTGAAACCAGCCCTAGAGAAAGCAGGAGATTGTAGGGTTACTTATACATGGTTTTTGAGTGTCGTTTGGGTTGTTCATGTAGGTGGTTTTCCAAAAGCTTATGGTGGTTGGATCGATAGCCTGTAAAATAGAACTCAGGTTAGCGCAAACGAAGTACTTGTTTACTAGAGTTCATAAATTCTTTGAATGTGAAAAAAGTCAACAGTTCTGTGGCTTTGCATCAGTTTCCAGTATCATACACATATCTCCAACAGTCTTCTCTTCCTTCTCTCTTATGAAATCACATACTGTCTTTTGAGGAAACTCTCCTGTATGCAACTAATAGTTTCTTGTAATGTATTTGACATTCATCACTCCTACTGCCAGGAATGGGAACCAAAGTGCAGTGTGAAAGCTACTTTCCGGGACATTTTCAAATGAGGGATCTTAGTGATGAGTCTAACAGTTGTAGCTGGCCCCTATATTATGGAGATAAAACCTTCACAAATGGTCAGTACTACAATGGTTTCATGCCAAAGGCAATCACGGACACTTATTCAGGGTATGATAAGGACTTAGTAAAGAGGACAATGCTCGAGCATGAGACCATATTCAGGAACCAGGTATACCAGAATTTGTATTTTTCGCCTGAGATGCTGATTTACTCTTGTTAAATTATCTGATTTCAAATTTATATCTCCCTGTCCATTCAGCTGTACGAGCTTCACCGCCTCTACAGAATACAAAGGGACTTGATGGATGAAGTGAAAAGGAAGGAAACACCACAGAAAAGTCGAGTGCAGGTCGATGCATCACTGTCATCAAGCCCCTTAGCATCTCAAGTTACATCTGAAGATGCTAGGAAATGGCATATCCCTGGCTTTCCACTGGGAAATTCTGTTTCTGCTCGACCATCTACTTCTGCCATTGAGAATATTAATTCACCGTTAAGTTCCGTCAGAGGAAGCAGCACATATGCCAGTCCCTTTCCATATAAGAATGGTAGTACTTCAAAGGATGTTGAGATATTGGAGTCGAGACCCACAAAGGTGAGGAGAAAGATGTTCGATCTCCAGCTTCCGGCCGATGAGTACATAGATACTGAAGAAGGGGCACCAAACAATGTGTCTGGAAAAGCAAATCAGCTGGTCAAGGGAAATCTGAGTAATATTTCTAAGAACGGTTTCAGCCAGAATAATTGCCAGGATAATGGTTCACTGTCTGAATCATGTTTAAGGGGCAAAACTAGTATGGCTGATTTGAATGAACCAATTGTGATTGAAGAAACTAATCCTTCTGAACATGTTAGTATTCTTGGTGATACCCCTTTCCATGGGGAGGTTAGAGGTACAGATTTGGATGGTAAGCAGAAGTCACGACTCAGAGGTTCTCCGGATGAGACACCTCATCGTGGGAGTGATAATGGGCCTTTGACTAGACCTGATCATCAGAGTAATGGAATTGGGAAGCAGTGGTTGACTCATGTTGGTGAAGCAGGTAAAATATTATAGCTGTGGAGTTCACTGTTCATTGAATTGCCTTTTCATCACTACTAACGATATAACGATAACTATGTATTTTTATTGAATAAATTTATGTTCGTTATTGCAGGACATGCTATAAACAATCTCAAATCTGTTTCTGAGACTCTTCAGGCCGAAAGGTTCCCGTCATCTTCTCGGTCGATGCAGGCCCTACCCAATGACAGAGCTCTTGAACCTCCAAACTTTTCAGTTACTGATCAAAAGAAGAATCAGTCGAGAGATAGAAGCAGTCATGGTGTAGACCTTTCAGAAAGAAGTCCTGATGATTCTAATAATAGTTGTCACCGAGCGGTTATTGCTTCCGGTATATCCAATCCATATCTGTTTGCACCTGATTTGAGCAAGTCTTGGTCTCACTCTGCTTTGTCTTGGGAAAAGCCTACTGGAATCTTGAACCAGAATGGTATCTCCGTTCAATTGCATCCTCATTTGAATTCCTCATCTGCAACATTGAGTAAGAGTTCTCAGTCATCAACTCAAAGCAATGGGATATTTGGAGATCGATGGAACTGGAACAACACCAGCTCTACATCTAACCATAAATATGGGAATGAAGTGTCTAACCAAAATGGATATTACCACGGAATTTCTACAGGGTTGAAGGAACTACAGTTTTCTATTCCTTCAGGAAGTTATGGCCACGTGAACTGTGGTACTGCTGACAATGCAGCAGCTCAAGAGCAGCTAATCAATCATGCTTCAGTTAAGTTCTATAAGAATTCGAGTTACATGGATTTGAAGCCCATTAAAGATGTGAACTTGAATGTGGCAATATCAAATGGGTTATCAAATCAGGAGGCTAATCGGCACGGTATTGAGATCATTGATTTGGAAAGAAAGGATGACGAAAATCTTTCTTCTTTGCCTTGGCTAAGGGGTAAGCCGACTTTCAAAAGTGAGGCATCTAGTACTGAGATGGTTCTCAATGCTGGGAAATTGAGTTTCTTGGATTCCTCCCAAAATCTCACAGACAAAAGTTTTAGGGGTTCTTTTCATCCTGTCTGGCAGGGTAAGAAATTAGCTTCTCATTCTATTAATCCTGATGCCACTAGGATTGAAGTTAGGGAGTCTGCTGCTTGCCGAAAAATTCTTGGTTTCCCCATTTTTCAAAGTGCACATGCTCCCAAGACAGAGTCTCTGTCTTTCACTTCTCCTTATTGCTCCATTGCTACTCCATCCGAAACAGAGGCAGGAAACAAGGTAAAAAATATACTGTTCGATATGAACATGCCCTTTGATGATCTGGCAGCTGTTGCTGATTTTGCTCAGAAGGCCTCTGATGAAGTCGAACTTGTCAATAATGGGAAAGATACCAAGAAAGTTTCCAACTTCAGATGTGAGATTGACTTGAACTCTTGTGTCAGTGAAGATGAAGCTGCTTTACTCTCTTCCGTTCCTTATTGCAAAGAGAAGACTGTAACAGGAATTGACTTGGAAGCTCCAATAGTTCCCGAGATTGAGGAGAATGTCGCAAAGGTTGATAAAGAACCTTCATTATCAAGCCATCAAGAATCTGAAATACAACTAGATGAATTCGTCAGAGTAGCAGCTGAGGCAATAGTTTCCATCTCATCATCGTCTGCCCCCCAAGATCGAGCAGAAAGTGCTAGCTGTACCCTTCATTGGTTTGCAGAAATAATCTCCTCTTGTGGGGATGACTTGGAAAGCAAGTTTAAAGCTCTCTCCAGAGTAGACAATAATGATTTGTCTTCCTTTGAAGAATTTGATTACTTCGAGCTGATGACTCTGAAATTGACAGAGATCAAAGAAGAAGATTACATGCCGGAGCCTCTTGTCCCAAAAGACTTGATATTGGAGGTGACGGGCCCCAGCATTGTGGTTCCCACTAAATCACGAAGGGGTAATGTGAGGAGAGGAAGGCAGAGACGGGATTTTCAAAGGGACATCCTTCCTGGGCTTGTATCTCTTTCTAGGCATGAGGTAACTGAAGATATTCAGACGTTTGGTGGGCTAATGAGAGCTACGGGTCATGCTTGGCAGTCGGGATTACTGAGGAGGAACTCGACTAGAAGTGGGTGTGGAAGAGGAAGGAGGCGGTTGGTGGTTAGTCCTCCTCCACCTCCAACGCCTCCGGTAGTGGTGGCTGTAAGTCCGCTAACCCCTTGTGCTCCGCTGATTCATCAACTGAGTAGTATTGAAGTGGGAATGGAGGATAGAAGCCTAAGAGGTTGGGGAAAGACAACTAGGCGTCCACGCAGGCAAAGGTGCCCAGCTGGTAATCTTCCAACTCTCCCTGTGACCTAAAATTACAAATGAGACGCCTTCTTCGCCTGGTGAAAATTCTATAAATGGAAAAAAGCATTGGAGTGGGTAACATTTTTCTGCTGGCTCTCCGGGGATTGAGTTTTCTTGTGATCAACCGTGGGGATTTCCTTGTACATTCCTTAGTCCAGAATCCCGGGTCTCCTTGGCTTCTTTCCATGGGTGACTTGCCACCAACCTTCTACCACTTGTAAATAATGTCAGCATTCAAGATTCATACTGCCAGGATACATTTCTGGGCAGCAGCAGCGTAGTTCGGTTTGAGTCAGCAAAGAGAGGGAAAAGCACCATACTTGGTTTCTCAAAGAGTCATCATAATCTCTGGTGATAGAGATAGAGAAAGAGGGACGCAGTATAACTGCTTGTGATTGATTGCATTCTTCTTCGATTCAAGAGGGCAAGGCAAACAAAGCTGACATTGTTTGTAATAACTGTAGATTCCTTAGAATGGCTGCGTTGTTTTTTCTCTTTTCACTACGGGTGTTCCAGTGAATTATGGTTCTACATAACAGAGAATGGATGAGGAAAGCTTTTCAGCCTGTGTTTTATTTTGGGCGCCAACTTGACAACTATTAGAGGATAAACCCACCATAAATAAATGACAGAAACGTGTGTACTTTCCAATACAGAGGTTTTGTTGCTGGCAGATCTTCTGCATGTACTTTGTTTTTCCTAGATTGGGTTCTTTTACTTGCATGGAAGTAGGAATCCGGAAGTAACACAATGTCGAGGAAAGGTGGGAAGAATTTATAATGTGGGAATTCGACCATTGCAGTTCTGGGAAAGGAAGAAATTCTGGCCAACCAGCCAGAAACATTCGTCCAAGTCTCAGGGAAGGGAGGGAAGGGAAATTGTCAATTGTTGTCAAAAGCGAACCGGAGTATGGCCCGATAATGTGAACGGCTCGATCTTTAGCGGTCCAACCGACATTAAACCGTTTAAAAACCGTTAGAAAGCCGGTACCTAATAAATAATCAGTATAAATTGTGGACACTTATTAATCATGGTAAACCATGACTAAATTAGTAAATTACAGTCTTAACTCTTAACAATTCTAAAACATAAGTACCAAAAGTTCAAGAATCCAATTCCAAACCACCATATTGTTCAAAAATAAAAGCAATGTCACACGAGTCTGAACATGAAAAAAGAGTCTCAAACATGGAAACCACTGAAAGTCTCAAACTCAAACAACTATCAAATACAACTTCAACATCATATCATTCACCACCACTAGCATAAGATGAATCACTGCTTGAAGACGACATGCCAAATCAATATTCGTATTTTCTCTATTCTCTACCAAACAAATGAAAATTAACATTGAAATCAAAATGATGCAAACAAAATATTTAAATTACAATCAACCAGAAATTAACTTACCACGAGCAGGAGGTGAGACGGCTAGTGGGAGATGTTGCGGACTGTGGAGGTGAGATGGCTGGAGCAGGGCAGTGGTTGGGGGAGATGTTGCGACAGGGGCAGGGAGCTGCTTGCGACGATGGCGACGGGGACAGAAGCGCCGGGAGCGGGGAGCAGCTTGCTACGACAAGGACTGGCGATGACGAGCTGCTTGCGGCGATGGCGATGGGATGGAAGCGCTGGGAGCGGGGAGATGCTCACTACGACAAAGCGATGCGATGGCGAGCTGATTGAGGATGGCGATGCCGTCGGGATGCGCCGACGTTGGGACAAGATGGTTGACGGCGGCAGGGTGGCGCCGCTCTCCCTCTGTAGTTCTAGGGTCGAAATCCGAAAACGAAGAAATGAAATTGTAGTTAGGGTTTTGTTTGACTGCCCCAGACCCACGATTGGCCTACTCGATTTTAATTATTTTTTTTTAGGTAAAGCAAACGGCCGAACCGCGCGACCGGCTTTAGCGGCTTGAGGGGTTAACCGCTTCGGCCGCTCGCCGGCCGCTGCATAAACCCGTAGCGGTTAAATAGCTGATCCGAGCCGGTTTTACGCTCGGGTGGCGGTTTTGGCGGTCCGGTCGGCCGGCTCGGTTCGACTTTGACAGCACTGGAAATTGTATTGCCAGGACGGACGGAAGAAAGGAATGCATTGTGGGAAATTTTGGCAGGAGCAAGTTGTTTAGTGGTTGGTGGAATTGGCCAGTACCAGCTGGACACTTGTTTGGCTGTCCCCATTAGAATTGTGTGGTGCTTCGGATCGGATATGGTCCTCCCACCTACTATTGGGTGGACGTTTTGTCAGCGAATAATATGATATTTGTATAATGATAATATAGTATACGATTTACAGGAATACATATTCGATCAACAAGAAAAATGTATTCTTATAATAGATAGTAGTATGAAATCAAGCCTTCAATAATACAATATTCTCATAACATAAATATCATAAATCCTTCAAGAATATCATATTCTCATAACATAAATATCATATTCTTGAAAGTTTGATTTCATACTACTATCTATTATAAGAATACATTTTTCTTATTCGACAAATATATATTCCTGTAAATCGTATATTATATTATTATTACACAAATCATATTCTCCATTGTGAAGACGTCCTCCCAACATTAGGTTGGAGAACCTTATCTTTTCTCGTGGCAGTAAATAAAGGTTGACTAAAGAGAGAATCTTTTGGAAAATTCATGAAGAGGTCCTTGAATATGAGAATCGTTTCTCTGCCCTCTATTTATCCCATGTATTCATATCACTATTCTTCACTGCAGAAGGTATTTAACGTATTTTCTTTGTGATGGTTACAGTTTACAAGACTTGCTTTGCATCCTGACATTTTCTTTGTTTAGGTTATACGCACCCTTCTGCTATATCTTTATCAAACATTTTTCTTTACTATTTTTTTACATAAAAATATTATTCTGTTAAAATTTTCATCCAAAAAATCATCAACAATGGTAATTTGAGGGACACAAATGTTAAAAATATCTCTAATAATATCACTTAGCATTTCCCCTCTTTTTATAGCCCAATACCTCTAATAATTTCACTCGAAATTTTAAAGAGACCTATAGAAATAAATGAATGAGGAAAATTGACACTTTCTCTTCCATTTTATCGAGGACAGATTGTCCAAACCAAATTTGATCGTGGTTGGCCATTTTATATAAAATATTTTACCGATGACATGTTTGATAAGTTTTCCAAATTACAAACATATATTTGATGTAAAAAAATAATAGAAAAGCACATTTGATAAAAATGAATATTAAAATGATATATTATAATAATCCTATTTAATGATATATTTAGTTATCTTGAAAACCAATATGGTTTGCATCCTCGTGTTTGTATGCATCGTTTTGGTTATCTTACATACTCTTGAACATATATTCACAATACATTTTATTGCATCAATAGTTGGTCGTACCCAACAAAGGAAAAGTGTTAGCATGCTAGCCTTTTCCAATCAATGGAGAAACCAGATCATTCGAAACTCCACACAACAATTCGAGTCTCAAAGCACCACTACACCATAAGCAATAACACCAACAACAACTAGAACTGTCACCGCGAGGTCGAGAGACCAAGTCTAAAAGGTGATTCCTTAACTTCGAGAGGAGATCAACCCACCCACCTTACCCTTCGATCCCATAATCACTTCGACAAAGCATTTTGGTAATTTCGTTCCCCTATCATTTTACCTTTCCCACATTGAGGACAATGTGTTCCTTAAATGTGGTTGGGGGGGGGGGGGGGGGGGTATGCATGAATACTTGTGTGTAATGTTGTTATTAATTATACTCTCTTACCCCATGAATGTTTGAAAGCTTGATCACGGGAGAGTGTGCTTTTAGAGAGATTCTGGACGATGATTTAGCATGTTTCAACCACTTGGAGCCTTGTATATATGCCCAAATTTTATCAAATTTGAGGGCTCCAAGTTGGCCCCTTTTGCATTCTCCCTACTCAATGTGCTTTGAATTGCTAGATAATTGTGATGTTATACATGATAGGGAGGATAGTGTAGTGCTACGGAGGATGTTGGGAGTGAGAAATTTGACCAATGATTTCCACCTTTAATGTATTGACCAATGTATTGATATTTTGGACTCAAAATGTTTGCAAACGTGTGTTCAATTTTGAAAAATCTTTTGAAAAAAAGAGGTTCTCACGTGAGAGGCAACCGAGCATAATGTTTGAGATAAACTATCGAAGGATTTTTCTCTTGGCTCGGAATGCCCTTCGAGGATGTGTTTGGGGTTCGGATAGCTTTATTGCGTTCTGATCATCTCTCACTACTTACCAGCCCCCAACCAACTCTCCTCCTCACGGAATCACAGGGCAAGGTACAAAGTACATTTTTTATTTATTCAAGAGACCTCAAGCTCTCGTTTGTACCCAACATGTGTGGCAACCCAATATGTAGTGCAGGCTGGGAAGTGGTGCTGGGATAAGATGGATACACCCATCAAATTCCCCACATGTGACCTTGATAAGGAAAGCAATTATTCATCCGCTCTTGGTCATGAGATAGAGATGCTTTATTGCAAAAATTTTGGTGCAATTCGCCAACGTAGAAAAAGGAGACCGATAAATGACAAGTCTTAACTTGAAAGAAAGAATAAAGAGCACCTTCTAGATTCCATGTTTTAAACCATTTGTTTAGAAATCCCCCGGTGCACACCTTTGATGTCTAGATCTCTTTAGTGGCAAGGTCCCCACTCGGGATGAATAGTGTCCATTAAAAGGAGCCATAAGCTTAAAGCCCCATATACGATAGCCTAGATTGAGGTGACTATATATGGGTTTAGGGGAGTCGTACGTGGAGGCGTGTGGAAAACCACGAAAGCCCACGGAAAAGATCTCACTCACCACATTCGATTAACCCTACTTGACAGCCGTAGCTAGGAGGCTACGACCCTAGGCAACCGTCTTACCTCTAGAGTTCTCCGAACCACTTGTTTGGTTGTTTATTTTTCCTTAGGAGTAGGTTAAATTAGTTCAAACACCTCACCAAACTTCCGACCTGATTAGATAGTAGTTCGGAGCGAAGTAATAATAAACTTAGAGATCCCTTGGAATACGACCGAGCCACTTTACTAAAACCCTAGCTAGGTTATACTTGGCTTAGTTAGGATTGAATACAGAGTGTGCATGGACTTATAAATTCAAAGCTCGATCGTGCACGAGCAAGCACGATCAATTATTACCCAAATTTCATAAATTTGAGGGCTCCAAGAACATGTGGATGAATCAATTTTTTATGGCCTATATTGAGTGTGTTTTAGAGCCTAAAATATATGTCCAAAATTTGAAATTTAAGGGTTCCAAACACCTTGTCATGTGCAAGTACCTACTCAATATGATTGAATTGCTATATGTCATTATGGTGTGCATTATAGGGAGGATAGTGTACCGCTACGGAGGATGTGGGTACATGAGGGGTTTTGCTTCCATTTCCTCTTGGATTTGTTGCTAATGCTTACTATCGACGTTAGGAAATATGTGTTGGACTCTCTCACGTTTGGACTCGAAAATTTTCTTCAAAAAGCTGCCCCATTTTGAATGTGCTTTTAAATGAAAAAAATTAGTGTTCTCAAGTGAGAGACAACCGATCATAGTGTTTAAGTTAAGCTGGCAAAAGGATTTTCTTTTAGATCGGAGTGGCCTTTGAGGGTGAGTTTTAGAAATTCATATAGCTTTCTAGCGTCCAGCCTTTATCTTATAATTTCCATCTTCCGCTAAACACCTCTTTTTCCTCACGAGACTTGTCTGAGAGTAGATAATGTGCCTCTGTGCAAGTCAAAAACCTCGGCTCTTGCTATTATGTCATATGTGTGGTAACTCGTCTGTCATTGAAAGGAGAGTGAGGCTGGGAATTGGAGCATGAGTGATCATGACTCACGTTTGAGCGCTTCACCTTCTTCTCAACCAGTACTTTCCCCCACATGAGGCTATGTCACTTTTGCTCTAGGCCATGAGATAGAGAGCACATGTTTGTGAAAACTGCAGGTGTGATGCCATGATCAACAACGTTAAGTTGAGATGCAAAGTTTGAGCCCTTTAAATTAGGAGAACCACCATCGAATCCATCATATTCAACCCATATTTTGAGAGTCCTTTCATGCACATGTGAAGAGTCTAGACCTCTTTAGTCGGCAAGGTCCCACTCCGACTTTGTTTTTTCATATTGAGGTGGAAGTGAGATTTCTTTCTTTGGTTGACCTCCAAAGTTGTTAGTTAACCCTATATCGAAGACCTATATTGCATACCATTGTGAGCATCCATCAAGTTTGATGTGATTCCCCACCAGCAGAGAAGGCCGACCAGAATAGGAGAATCCCCGTCCGGGGAAAAATGGAGGCAGACCAGGGAATTGGTCTAGAATGCCCCCCGATGACACGCTATGACGCAACACCAGACTGCGACCAAGTGTAATGGCAGAATGGAAATGCAGAATAGTGGGTATGTTTAATTTATCAACCCGGAGTCTAGATCTACTGCCTACTCCATGAACTTTTATTATCTAGCGGGACTAAGTGAGTGAAGGTGAATTCAAACTAAACAGAAAGAAAGTAGCAAATTGGTCGATGTTTTTAAGCAAGGGAAGAGGCACTCAGGATTGAGTCCCCCTAGCTCCTTATTTAGGTCCAAGTTGTAATTTCCTTTGGTTGATTAACTATTGATTAAACTGCGGAAGATCCGACAGTAGCTTGGAATCTCTTAAGCTGACCAAACCCTCTTAGACAGACTAACCGGAAAATGACTAGTCTTCATCGGGATAGAATGCTAAGGCAATTCAAACAGAACTCCACTACTAGAAACAGATTCCAGTAAAAAGCAGTGAATTGACTAACTCTCGTACAATCAATTCACTCCTATCGATTGAAGAAGCCCTAACAACCTAATCAGATTCTATCTATCTCAAGTTGCAGCAGAAATCAAAAGAAGTTGATCAGGATTCAATTGACTCAATAAACACTTCAATCGATTAAAACCAATCAGTATATCAATCCAAAAGTCATTACAACTCCAATCCCTAACACATGGAACTAGGGTTCTTCATACCCAAGTGAGAGAAAGATCTACTCCATAGAGAGAGTAGAAAACAATAATCAGAGGAATCATACTCATAATGATGTATACGATAAGCTCTGGGATGATAATCTTCACTCCGAGGTTGAAATCCAAGCTTGATTGATGAAACCCAGCTCCAAAATCGATCCTAGGGTTTGTTCTTCTCTCTTTCTCTCTCTAGAACTCTGTTTTTGCTCTGAAAATTCGATTCTTCTTTTTTTGGTTCGAAACTACCAGTTTAACCCGATACCGGTAAAGCACGGGCGTGAACACGTCGTGTCCTTCTCATCCCGCCCGTGTTTTTCAAAGTCACGTGGGAAAACTTAGACCGGTGGTGGGAAAACACGCTCGTGTTTTAGCCACGACCGCCCGTGTTTCGCATTCTTCAGCAGCAGTCACACATCAGCTCTCGCCTCTCGGCATTAAAAACACTGGCATTGTACACGGCCGTGCTTTGGGGCAATGTCTCTCGTGCTTTGCCCTTGCATCGTCTTGGCCTGTGCACTAAAAAGCACTGGCGTGCTCCTCAATGACCACGGTCG